AGCTGGAGGAAGTGTCTGGAGAGAGGGAAGTCTGGGCATCTTTGCTTAGACTGCTGCCCCTGCGAGCCGGTTCCGGATAAGCGGAGGAAAATGGATGGATAAAGGAGAAATCCCCACTGATGATTTTCAACTGTTAATGAGTTGTCAGCAGTTTTCCACATAGACGAATGAAATAGCTGAGGTGAGAGCAGCTAATGTCAGTCATGTCAGGCCTGTCCTTCCTCAAATGGCCTTTTGCAACGTAAGTGATAGCCTGAGAAAAGGGAACAATCTTATCATAACTTGAGGGAGCACATAGAGTGAAGAGAGGAGAGCAGAGGACAGCCAGCGTGCACGGATGTGCACAATCAAACAGACACAGCAAACATACATACCAGCAAACAAATAACTGGTCTGATAATGGATTCAGATTAATAAGACAACTATGGGAATAAATTTTAGTATATGGTTCATATATATTTGGAATGCAACATAAGGTTACTGGGTATAATGGGCATCTTTTTGGACCATGCCCTCCATATTTAAAGGGCCATGGCACTGCTTGCCTTGTTTTAGTCCATTAACTACACATGATGCACATGATTGCTGACATTTTTTCAAACACAACAGCAAATTCAACCATTAGTGTAAATATGTTCTTCTACAGACCTGTCCAGGGTGTATCCTGCCTCTTGCAACCCTATATATCTTTCTATATATTTTTCTTCTGTTTTTGCCCTTTACATTACAGCATGCTTTGTCCCCTGTATGGTCAGAAATCTAGCTAGCTAGCTCTGTTCTAATTGGTCAGTCTGAGAGTAGAATGATTCTTAATCACGATGATCAAACCTAATGAGGGATGAGCGTGTCTGTATCTATACAGTATCTATTGCTTGTTCAGCTTTGTGATGTTTATCAGTTAAATTCAGCTTACTGGGTCAACAGTGGGCAGATCTTTTGTCTGACTTTTGCCTTATGTTCAGTCTTAATCAAACACCTCAAGTGAAAGTTAGATCATGAGCCATGTTGCCAGGTAGTCAAACCCAGAAGGCAAAGCAAACATGAATGCCTGAGAAAAATAATAAAAAAAAATTGGTTAATTGTTGGCTGGAAAAGGCAGTTGTGTGTGAAAGCTTTGATGTCAGAGTGTTTTTATAGCGCCAGCGGGGAAAGAAGTGCATTGCCACACAATACCAAAATGAAATAAACCCACCGAGTTAATCAGTGGAAAATGCAGTGAGTTGGATGGCTAAAGAAAGCCCAGTGGTAATGCTAATATTGCAATTTCAGGCCTGTCAGATTGTATTCAGACAGTTACACATATTTACAATCTATGACTGAGCATTTATATCCCTCTGTCATGAGAGCAGTAGTACTCTGATGCTCAGACTCTTTGGCGTATCTCAAGTGGATGCTGTGTCAGTCCTGGGAACCCTAGCCAAAGATAAAGCTGCCGTTCCTGATGAATGGAGAGCTGCTGTAGCACTAGAGAACGCTGGGATGAAGAGAGGGGCCATCAGATAGACAAGGGGAGTGAGGCGTGGTTTCACAGAGAATGGGATAAGAGGTAAAGCTTGGCATCTCTGCTTGAGGATTAACTGATATTGTTAGCAATATAACCCCCTTCGCTCCAGCTTGTTCTGGTCCCAGATAGCTCTGGGACAGATAGTTCAAATGCCCTGGATGTTGTTTTCCACAAATAACTTTCTATAGCAAGCCTGTATATACTTGTATTTTAACAGCTCATCAGCTGGAGTACTGCTGGATAGCTTGTAAATTTTACATTGAGGAATAATAAAGTCTTATGATTGTACTGTATTTTGTTTTGATTTGTGAAAAGTAAATAAAGGTATCAAATAAAGGTAGAGTGGACGGTACAATATTTTTCTCTGAAATGCAGTGAAGTCTAAGTATGAAGTAGCAGAAAATGAAATTACTCAAGTAAAGTACAGATACCACAAGTACAGTACTTGAATGAATGTACTTAGTGGTGGTACTTTGCACCTCTGTGTACATGCATGCAAATTCATGCTTAATATATCAAATTCTGTCATGTAATTCCTCTACATAGTTTATATATTTCATTAATATGCACAAAGAAAATGTTTGTTTTACAATACATGTGAAGATATATTTTAGTATTTTGCTTGTGTACATTATGTAGTTATGCAAGTTTATGCATGTCTATATACTGTGTGTATACATACTTTGGATTTGCCTTTTTAAGTAGTAGGAATATTAATAGTTATGTCTTCTACTGACCTGCAGAGTGAACTATTTACTTTACCCCTAGACAGACAAGCTGGCATGTTTCATGAATAAATGTTGGAAGATGAACCTGCTATGATAAAATGGCAGCGCTCTGGTGTGTGTCCTGTAACAATCTCCATGGTGACTCTGCTGTGTTTGGACCAAATACATTACCCACCTACCATCCATTTTCTTCCATCTATAGCAGTGTTCACACAGACGACCGGAAGCTGCAAATCTTCATGGAAGAGTCTCATGAGTAACTGCAGCTATGAATAATGGATGATAGTACAGTATGTCACAGCAATACAACATCCAGAAGGACTGAGCTACTTACACTGTAGTGCTGCGCTTTCGTCTGAGGCCACAGCAGAACGAGGTTCGAAAGGTTCTCTTGTTGGATGATAAACTGCAGTATTTTCTGCAATAACTAAATGTGATTAGTTAACATTTGGCCAGAGAAAGCAATTGAATGTGATACATCTCAGCTGTGAGAAATCACAGAACCAATAATCTAGTGCAGTGAGATTGAACTAATCAGTATGTCAGTGAAACCAAACAGCCACTCCTGATAGCTCTGGTGCAACATACCCCTTTTTTTACTAAGGTCACAGTATAAGAAACACAGCATGGACATGGAGTTCAAAAGACATGGGCATTTACCAGACGGTGAGGGTCTAACAGAAAGATGCTATTACTTGCCGTGGCTCTGCTGCATTGACCACTCTTTTTTTAAAGTCTTTCTTTCAAGTTTCCCTAATTTATTGAAGTGCAATACTAAATCATTAACTTGAAGAAAATGGGGTATATAAGAATTGTGCATGAAAGATACACTTTGCCAAATAACTGCACCAACCTAAACATCACATCATAAATACTCGTCTGCTGTCTCGACATGAGTGCAAATGAAAACGTGACACAGGATATTGCCTTACTGGCATCTGTATTTATCAGTTAATGTGTAGACATGTTTCAATACCGAAAATTATTTGAGCAGATTTTACTGTCAAAGTCACATAAAAAACAAATCCTGTTCATTGGATCATTCTTTTATATTGTGACATGTATGGAGTCCAGTAGCTGATGACCACAATCAGAAAAGGCACCATGAGACTCTTGAGGTGGACTGGGACAAAACTGACATTCATCATTCAGATGCTCATGCTGTCCTCTGTCTCAGCTCTCTCACAGAATCATTTCTGTGATCATTCTCCTTCTTTGTCCCCCCTCACAGTTTCTTCCTCATCTTGCCCTTCTTTTGGCCACCCCGTCCAAACCCTGACTTCTTAACTTCTCTGAACCACTGTTTGTTTTTGGAATGGAGCTTCTTCAGCCCTCCGCTCTGCAGGAACTGGTGCTTCTGCTTCTTCTTTCGCTGCTTCAGGATCTGCTCCCTTGTTTTCAGCTCTGAGCGCACTCTGCCTCCACCAGGCGTCTGCTGCGGTCTTGCGGGGCTCTGGAAGTTAGGACCTCGTCGACCACGGCCTGAGGGACACAGACAGGAGGATTAATTTTTTTTTTAAATGAAAATTTTGATGCCATATGTAGACCTCAAATCACTGCATTAGCACAGTACTGATTTATAATGCAGAAACAGACTTTCTTCAAGTAAGCTTAACAGCACGTTTGCAAGCTGGGTAATCAAGATTCAAAATGGCAATATAGTAATTTGACTTTAGGAACAGTTCAAGACTGTGGGAAATTCATTTATTCGCTCCACTACCTCCTGCTGGCCTCCTTCTTCCTCCTCCTGTTTCTCCATCTGAGCCTGATGCTCCGTCATCAACCCTGTATTTTTTCTTCCACTCCTCATAACTGACATGTTGTTAAGGTCAGACAGCATCTCCACAATTCAATATTTTCTAAGTAGGAAGGAGCAGGACTACTAACGGCAATAATATTAAACACGTAGGAAGGATACAAGTTCTTCTTGTTCTTCTTGTTGCTGATAACCTGGCCTCCATCTATTCTGATCTTCTTCTTCTGGTCTTCTTTTCCTGTTTCTGTCACAAAGCGCTTCCTCTTTCGGTCCCTACAAATGACAGAGAGACACTCAATTATGCTATGAAATGGAAAAATCTGAAGCTTTGTTTGGTTTTTTTTTTTTTTTTTAGAAAATTGTGTGTTTAGACTGGGTGAGTAAATTTTAAATTTTCACCATTTCATTATTTTTTTGTCCTGGTTGAGCCGGCCGCCCTCATCTCCCATTAGGTCCAGGACGGCTGAGGACGCCTGCTGTTCAAACACACTGCCCTCTCCACTGAGACTTAACCTAACACCGCACACAACACAAGTCACAGGTTAGAACATACAGAGAATATTTTTATTTATGAGTGGTTCAAATTTTCTTTACTATTATTTTTTAAATCTTAAGAATATTTTGCCTCACCCTCTCTCAGAGTTGAAGTCTTTGGGTCTGTATGGGATGTAAAATTCTTCATCTTTCCCACTCTGTCTGCTTTTCTTGTTCTTTGGCCTTTCTCCCTCCTCTTCATGCAAACCTCTCCTTTTTCCACCGACAACAGCAGAGAACACCCCCTGGTGGAAACACAGGGAACTGCATGTCAGAAACTAACAAGATTTCTGATTTAGAAATTGTGATTGTTTTTAGCTGCAGTACTAATATCCTTTGACACAGAATCCATTATTATATCTTTTTCCCACTTTGGTTGAATGTGGGACAGTGGTAGAGACATTTTTAGCACTTCTGGCATGTTCATGTACAACACTGCTGACCAGAGTTTGTTATCTGGGTTATATTCTAAGTGCTCCGCATTCAGGTCTCACAGAAAACACTGGAGACAACTAGTGGAATCCGACGGTCACAGGACTACTTACCTTTAAATCATCCTCCTTGCCTGTGGTCAGTGTGGAATCACTGTTGACGGGTTGATGCAGGTGGCGCTCTGCAGCCAGATTCTCTCTCTGCTTGCTGAATTTGTTCACCAGTTGTGCATCCTTGGAGCGTTTAGCCCGCATCACTTCGCAGGCTGGTGTCTTACTGTTAGAGTTGATTTCAAAAATAGTCTACACCAAAAGATGAGAGGTTTTATGTTTTAACATAGGTTAGCAGGAAAGAGAAGCATTAAGAAATACCTGCATTACCTGCGTGTAACTTACCGATTTGGATTTGTAGACCTTAATAGCATCAACTATTTCAAGGCGCTCCAGTTCCATTTTCTCCAAACCTGACCCTGAAACAAGATTAAATAAATGCTATTGCAGCTACTGTCTGACTATCACCATTACTGTTCTCGTCATCCTCCTCCAAACTGACCTAGTAATGGATGGACAGCCATGCTGGACAAATCTGCATTTTTGACCCGTCTGATGGACTCTGGTGAGGGGTTTGGCCGAGACTTAAGGTACTGCTTGTAGGCGTTCTCAGAGACATGATGCAGGTTTTGCAGGTCCAAGGAATTTTCATGGGCAGTGATCAGATGGGAGGCTTCATCATCAAGGATACTTTGAGGGACCCGACCAAACACACCGTCTGAATCTGAGGGTAGGTGTAGTGGGTCAGAAGATGGTAATAGACAAAACACTGATAGGTAAAACATACTTTTGCAAGTCTACTCACAGCCTCAATCTAAGAGTGACACCTGGCAGGGATTCTGCAAAGCCTACCTGGTGTGTGGTCAGGTGTGGCGAGCTGAACGGGCCTTCCAAGGAAGAGGTGAAGATCATACACAAAAGGCATCTCATCCTGACAAACCAGACTATAGGCTGTGCCGCTGCGACCCGCACGTGCCACACGGCCTGGAGAGAAAGAGACATGATGACCAGACAATCCTCATTCATCATATCAACTTGATCATTTCATCCCGTTATTGAAAATCTGGCTTTGAATTCTGTGTAAAAGCCACTGACCAACTCTGTGGAGAAAGAGCTTGGCCTTGGAGGGGAAGTTGTAATTGATGACATTGTCCAACAGGGGGATGTCTATACCACGGGCAGCGACATCAGTCACAATTAGCACCATGGCTTTTCGATGCACAAATTTCCCAATGTTGATCTTTCTGGCAGTCTGATCGAGAGCACTGTAGATGTAGGCACACTCCAGGCCTTCTGAAGTAAGCAGCTAGATTGATCCAAATAAAATAAGGCAAAAATTGCCCCTTAGAAAAAAACTGGATTTACTGAAAATGTTTCAGGGTTCATTAAGGACAAACACACACAAAGAGAGAGACATTCTGCTGTTTGTATCTCACCTCCTTGAGGTACTCTACATGATGTTTGGTGGCTGCAAAGACCACTGTCTGCTCCTGAGGCTTCACTACGTTCCTTAAGAGATGAAGCAGCATTGCCTGCTTGTCGTCCACACGCAGATGGAAAAATGACAACTGATGGAAGACAGGAAAAGTTTTTATATTTTGGAAAGGTTGGAAAGGGGTGGACATAGCTCTAAACCTCTGATGCACAATTATATCCATTGTCTGGGTAAAGAATATGCAAAAAACATTTTGCTTACAGTTGTCTCACTTACTACATAAATAAGACATTGTACCTGAATGCATCACTATAAAGACTATAAGTAAAAAATATCAGTCCCCTGCCACATCAGCTGTTTTGAAATACAGTAAGTTATCAGATATAGACAAATGGAGACAACACATCTCGAGTGGAAGTTCACAGCATAATTACAGTTAGATCTTATTATAATTCGTTTGTATGAAGTACACCATCATGTATTAGATTTACCATTCTAAGACTATTTTAATAAAAGCATGTCTTCCTCACTTAAGCCTCAGTGTATATGGGAGTCATTAGAAATTCAGTTCCAATACTGTGATGTTTGATTTGGTCCTTGATTTGATTTACCTTGATTTGGTCACTCAGTTTAGAATCGACATCCAAACGAATCAGCACTGGTTCTGTCAGCCCTGAAAATAAAAAAAAGTTAATCTGAGATTTAAGGAATGATATGAACCCAAGTAAAACAGAACTGACAAACAGGATGAAAAATATAAAAAATAAACAATGGTGGGCAAAAAAACAAGAAGTTTGATCTTACCAGCTCTGGCAAATTCCACCAGCAGTTTGGGCAGAGTAGCAGAGAACAGCAGAGTCTGTCTGGTGTCTGGAAGCCTCCGAATGATCTCCTGAAGCTGTTCGGCAAAACCCATTTCAAACAACCTGAGTGGAGGAGAAACACAGATCCATTAACAAAAACGTACAAGTTCATCCAAGCCATGCTATGAAATAACCACAAATTTAAATGCATAGTTTTCTTTCTCACCTGTCAGCTTCATCGAACACGACATACTCCACACTCTGCAACTTTAGGTTCATCTCCTTCACAACGTGCATGAGGCGACCGGGTGTACCAATGATTCTGGGGGGAAAGGACTAAGATCAGGATTTCAAGATAAAGAACATTTATCATTTAGCACAACAATAAAACACTCACATGTCAGGGTTTTCATGAAGAGCAGCAAACTGATCATCCATTCTAGAGAAGAGCAAAGACATTCGCTACAGTTAACACACAGCTGTGCAGATTTCTGAGTACAACAAAAAAAAGAATACCAGCATACAGTAAGTCTACTAAGAATCTCACACCTGTCTCCACCAAGGATCAAGGCAGTCTTGAGGCCGGTGAATTTTCCCAACTATAATACCACAAGACAGTGAGGAAAAAAAAGTCAGTGACAGGAATGAATAACAGTCACACGTGCAATTATTCCAAAGACAAAGCATATTAATTCAACTCAAAGTTTTCAACCCAGAAAGTATAGCTACACAATCCATCACTACATTAAACTGTTAAATGAACAAGTACAACAAACAATCAATCTAACTGTGTGACCTCTTTTGTGAACTTCATGGTTTGAAGGGCCAGCTCTCTGGTGGGGGTCAGGATGAGGGCCCTGGCTCCTGTTTGGGCTTGAGGAGCCTTCAGCTTTTCAAACATGGGCACTAGGAAGGCTGCTGTCTTTCCACTGCCAGTTCTAGCCATGGCTACTATATCCTTGCCATCCAAAATCACTGGAATAGTCTAAAATGGGAAAGAGAATGTTTGGGCATAAAATACTGGTCACCTATCAGTAAACACCTTTAATTATATGACACTGAAGCACCACTGACCTACCTTTCTTTGAATAGGAGTTGGGACTTTGTAACCCTTCTTCATGACCCCTTTGTATACTGGGTAACTGAGACCTGAAATCATTCATAATGTAGTCAAACAGTGTTACTACTGGATCAGACTTTTACCTACAGTATATACAGATAACCAGAGGGCATGCAGCCCTATCAGTGTGCTCTTCACTGGCTCCTACCCATGGACTGAAAACCTCCAGACTTCTTTTTCTTCTTGTTTTGGGCTCTGATCAGCTCCCTGGTGTCAGGCTCCACATCAGACAGGCAGTCTGATGAGGCGGGGAACCGCAGCAGTTTCCTCCCCGCCTGTAACACCAATAAGAAAACATGACAATAAATGTTTCAATTCAAAATGACTTACAAACAGAAAATAATAATATTAAATTCAAGGCAATATTCACTAGATATATGATGATAGGTGTGGGTGTACAGTAAAACCTTATACTACATGTGTGAAGATCTTGGAAAACATTCAGTGAGTGAATCTGTTATTAGGTTCACCTTTCAAAACTAATGCAGTCCAAGACAACACCTGTACCACAATTTCTGGTCATCCCTGTTTCCTTACATGAGATGGTCAAAATGTATACACATTACAGTGCTGTCCACTACAACAGCCACTAAGTATGACCTTAATGCTAAATCATATCATATAATGAATACCTCTGTGACAGTGTTGGTAAAAACTGAATGCTCTCAGCATCATAAAAACACACTGTGAAAGCAGATGTAACGTTATACTGAGGATGAGAGTGTATAATACAATATCGTGCTATGAACAACACTTCCAAAGTGCAGTCACCTACATTAGATGCTTTTCAAGAATAATAAATAGTAGCACTGAATCAGGCTAGTGGAATAATCAACTGGTCGATCTACTAACAGCAGAAAAACATGTTTTAATCGGCAATTATTTAACTAAAGAACCATTTGAGCCACTTTTAAGTAGAAATGTCAAATATTTCTTTCTATAATAGCTTCTTATATATGAGGATTGATGCTTTTCTTTGCCACAAAAGTAAAATGACTAGTCTGAACTTTTGAAGATGTCTCCTTGGTCTGCTGGAAACCATTCACTATTGTCATTTTAAAGACTGAGTATCACTTTACAGACAAAACCACTGACAATGAAAACTTGTTAGTTGTAGCCCAATTTAAGTAGAGCGTTATATACCTACTATATGTGGTATAACATAATAGAACAACCAATAATCCATGATAAAATGAGTAAAATGCTTTGCTGCTGAGCTATACACCCATCTTATAACAAACTTCGTATAAAACTGCTCGTATAACGACAACCTTTATTAAGTGAATATATATGCCAATTCATCAAACGTCATGATTAAGAGAAGCGGCTGAATGAGTGACTTGTTTTAATGTATTGTTGCTTACAGAATCATCGTCCTTAATTTCAGCAGCCAGTTCAAAGTCTCCCCTGTCAGAGTCAGACTCCGACTCTCTGTTGGTGTGTCTCTTCTTCTTCGTCAGTTTCTTCTTTCTCTGGGCCATCCTGTAGCTTTAATACTTTTGAACCTACGGTCAGCAAATTTATTATACAGATTATCAAATTAGCCGGGATCAAACTAGTGATCAAAACAGCTCATATCTTCTTAGCATACAACAACCAAACAACACGTCAGGCAGACATGTTGGAACCACGTGTTAGCGTCATTGTTGTCTTCTTCTTTCGCTTTGAATGGCTTGCTGCTATGTTGCCTGAAGCTCCACACCACCGCCTCCTGCTTCGGAGTGGTAGTCATATTTATAATTACGCGTATTTACACTGCCTCCAGTTACTAGAAATCATATAATTGCAGATTGAGTGATTTCTAACACTTCTAAAACCTCTGAGAATTTTTTTTGTTTGTTACATATTATGCTCATTTTCTATTTGTCTTCCTTGACCCAATCATCCAACTGGTATAACTTTTTTATTGGCCTGTATGTTACACACACAAGGACTTTGTCTCCAGTACAGAACCAAGGTAGCCCAAGGACACTTCAACATGTGAACTGGGGAGATCAGGAATTGAACCACCAGCCCCCCAGTTGGGGGACAACCACTCTACCTCCTGATAAGTCCATGTGCAAGCAAATTTTTAGAAAAGAGAAAAACTTCAATTAAATGAAAGCCTACTTTGGGTTGGTTTGTTGTATTTATTAACTTCTTCATTAACATCCATGATATATAATCAAAATGTATAATTTCCATGTTGCATGATGCAACAAGAAGACAGGTTTTTGTGTTAATAACTACAGCAAACAGAAGCTGTGTTGTACAGTTAGCAAAAATAACTACAGACATAAGAGAGAAAAGAATGAAAGTGAACAAAAATGTGTTTTGAGCTAGTTGGATATAACTTAGCTTTTGAAAACCTGTGCAGTATGAAAAATATTTTTAGTCACATACAAATGAGAAGAAGAAAGACTATTGTCCAAATGTGGTTTTGTGGTGATGACTATATATTTATATAACTCAGAACTCATGGGGCCACAGAAGACAATCAGCACATTTTTTGTTGCATAACCTTTCATGAACTGACTGCACAGGACATCTTGGCAGGCAAAGCCTGCCCATCCATGCAGCAACTGCCACACTTATGACCCTGGAACCCTGAAATATGGTATGATCATTTTCCCAAAAATAAAACAGATTTTAGTCCACTGCACAAACATAAGCTTGGCAACAGGATCTCTACATTTTGTACTATTATGCACTCATTTTAGAAATCTGTCCTTCAGTGACATATTTATTACACATGTGGTAAATAAATACCGTCAGTACTTTACACACAGTGTTCTTTTAATTTATCATGCTCTTGCTGATAACAAAACAGAGCTTTAGTAAACATTGCTCTGCCAAAGCTTATAGAATATCCTCACCTCATAGCGTTGAATTACTGTAGAATCAATCTCACACAACCACGTGAATCTACAAGAGGATCAAATATGAGATCAGGTAGTTTCTTGCTTGTGTTTTTTTAGGATAAGCCAGTTTATCACATTCTGACTTATCCAACCTTTGGTTTTATTAAAACATGAGGACAGCTACTGATCAACAAAACAGCTACCCAAGGCATGAAATCCCCACTGCAAGCTGCAAAAAATGTGGATTTTTGGTTGGAAAAGATGGTAATAATGCACATTTTCAATTGGTCAGTATGTTTTCAGCTTACAGAACTTTTTGCATTTGCTCGTAACTTTCAGTTGTTTATAACCACAGCCACAGTTTAATTTTTTAAATCACCCAGTGGAAATGTGCCCTTTAGATGATAACACTGACACTAATATGGCAGCTAAAATGTGTACAGCACTGTTTGAAGCCAGTGGGATGATGAACAGTAAATAAGTGAACACCATGGCAACTGCCTGGAGCTAATGCCGTTTACGTCCCCTCACAGAGCCTGGCTGTGTTGGCCTAAAGTCAAATCTGTTCATGAAGCTGAGAGGGATTGCAGGATTTACATGTAGGCAATAGGTGCAACACACCACCTATATGATCCGCTTTTGTTAGTAAAAGTGATTTAAGTGAAAAGGCCTGAGGGGATTAAGATATGAAGCTGACAGGGATGGGAAGGTTGTGGTGGTTTCAACTTGGCATAAATAAAAAGGGGTGCTGGCATCAGTATGCTATCGGGTCAGCCTCCAGTGCTTCTGGCAGTTTATTAACTCTCAGTATTCCCCAGTGTTTCAAGCCCTCATGTTGAAGACATTCTCCGAAATCACTGCTTTATCTTTGTCTCCACATGATGTATCTCAGGCAGTTTATTTTCTGATATTGCTTGTTATCCATGAGGAACAGCTTTTATTGTTTCAGGTGATGCATATCTTATAAACAGCATACTGTATAAAAAAATACAGTTGCATGTTTTGATTTTTTTTTTCAAATACCCTAATAGACTTGTCATTTATTTCACATAGTGTAAAGATAAGATTTACAAATGACAAACATAAACACATTTAGGAGGATTTACTGTAAGCTGGGCTAAGCTGCGTGCTGAGCTATAGGAGGCTTATAGCGAAGTTTGTGACCTTTCAGAAAACTGTGGTGTAAGTTGTGTCAGTGATGACTTTAAATAGTATACAAATAACATTCATCAAGCAGTCAGTGGCTAAATGGGCATTGGATGAAAGTCATTACAGAAACAGATGTCAACATGTTTGTGGTTAGATTTTCATAGAGATGTGTGTGTGTGTGTGCGCGCGCATAACAGATGCTTCTTCTAAGCCTTGGAGATTGAAGGGAATGTTTAAATTAAGTGATTATTGAGCTGATGGATTCTAAAGCTAAGCCTTTAAATGGGGGTAGCAGTTAAATTTTCTTCCACCCTATCTGGGTCAGTTTAATTATTTATCAACCATTCTTAAAAAGCTGGCTGTGGGTTTGGTGGACCTTTTAAAATAGTCAAAAAATCCAATTAGTATTGAGAGTAAAGTGCTGCAGCATATCAGGCAGGCATGTCCCTCCGGCAAGCCTTCAAATGCCCTCTTGATTTTCCATGCCAGATGTTATACATCCATGGGGCAAATTAATATCAGAAATCTGATAACAGCTCATCAAAAATTTGGGATAGCTATATGAAAGGAAGTATTAGCTTTGGACTTGCATTCCATAAGTGATTATATCATAACTGTGAAGTGTGACATTTATTGTGAAAGCCGAAACTCTGAAAACTGCTGTTTGTATGTAGTGGCTTAAGACATATTTCAACACCCAGAGACAAGTCACTGTGTGTGAATTTCAAAAATATGAGAAACAAATACTCAGAAACGTAGTGTGGCTATTAGTCCAAACCCTAGTGAGGAAGACAGCCCTTAAAGAAAGGGTCACAGCATAGTCTTGGACTCACTGGGTTGGCATGACACCATGAATAATGTCACTCCTAGTGACAGTAGCATATGGTGAGAGGGCCCCAGCCTTTACCCCCTGGCTAATCAGCACAGAAACAGAGCAGCCATGCACAAAAAATCCCGCCAATGACTGGACTGTGCCTCTTAAGATGCAATGGGTTGATACAACGCTGAGAAGAACAGGGCTTTCATGCTTGTGAAGACTTATAATTATGCTAAATTTGTAGTTAATATCTTTATCATATATAAATATATAAAGAGTATATATTGGCGTATAGTAAAACAACATGCTGAAACCGTATACAAATGCTTGGAACCACAATTTAAAGCGCAGTAAAGCAAAATTCAAACGTGCTTGCATTTCCACAACAGAAGCTAAGCCTTTTGCTGAGACATCTTCTTTGGAAGAATCCGGCTTTACACTTCCTTTAGTGTAAAACTGTCGAGACACATACTGTACATCCGGTCAAACTTTCAATTACTTGATATTCTTGGTGCTAAAAGGCAATTTCCCTTCGAGGCTTCAGCATTTAATCTTACAGCTAGTGCCAGCATTTAAGCTATAACCATGGGACATGTGACAAAAGCATAAAAACTGTCCCTAAAGGGAAGCAAAAAAAGACTCCTGAGGATGTCTCCAGATGGGCAAATTGGTAGGGCATCAAAGTCCCTGAAAGTGACATCATTCTTCTCCATGTAGTTTCTAGACTTTTGTTTTCATTTAGCACACATAGCCTGCAAAATATCCTTTCATGCAGTAGAGTATTGTGGTCACTGCTGCATTACTGCTCATTAAGGTTGTAGAGAACCCACTGGGCTGTGGTTAATACATAAGACTTACAGTACTGGCCATTTTCAGTTTCATCTCCTCTACACCTTTAGGGGAGGGTTATATCCAGTGACACATGCTCAGAATTAAGCCCACAAAGCAGAATTAACTTTTCATATTTCCTCCTTCCATCACTGTTTTTTTTTTTTTTTTTTGATCTGTGCTTGCATAGCTCTGGGCTCACTTCTTCTTCTGCTGTCTTAATTGCAATTTCATCAAAGATTTAAAACCATATAGCCTTTCCCTTTCTTGTTGCTGTCAGTCCAAACACAGGGGGACTTCAAATGTGTTTAAAGCAGCTATTGTGTGTCATAAGATAAGTCAGAATAAGCTTGGGAAAGGTTCACTGTCCTCTTTGTAGTACTGGCAGACCTGCCCTGACGCCTCTGAAACTATCCTTTTCTTTTTTTATGGCTTTATTACTGAGAGGCTCAAGCAGCTTAACAGAAATGAATAAGGGCTATAAGATGTGGCAAGAGGAAAAAGGTTGAGACAAAAACCACATGTGCACATTAGCATTGGAACTGTTAGGAGGACTGCTCTTTTATGATTTACACCACTCAGTTCGTTTGTGTTGATGCAATATGAAAATTTGACATTATAGATTCACCACCGTTGTCCACACAGTCGGGAATCTCAGGATGATGAATTATTTGTAGATGTCTGAGTGTAAGCATGCATGTACAATGTAATGTTACTTTAAGAAGTAGTATAACACATAACATAATGCTTTTATTGTAAAATGAAGTAACGCTGAATAAAAGCTGAAATTTGACATTTTAGCCATTATTCTTATTCACTTTCTGCCAAGGTGTTACACGTGAAGATTGATTTCGCTCTCATGTCTGTATGGTAGCTTGGATTTTATACAGATTGAGGAAAATAAGATACAACATAAATTTTCGAAGTTTAAAGGTGCTAGTAGTTCAATTTTGTTACCTTCGGACCAAGGTAACCTAGCTGTTTCCCCTGTTTTTAGTGTGTCTGATAAGCTCTGTTACAGTAGCTATCACCTGGCTGTAGCTTCATATT